TCTGTCTCCTGTCCCCTGGTTCTGAACGCCTCGGCTCTGGAGCCCGCCCCTGCTTTTGACACTGGCAGCTCTGATTTATTCATTATTTTATTTTTGATGAAGATCTCAGTCATGGACCAGCACCCCACTGTGCCGCAGGGGGTCTCAAACTTCATTGCATCGCCCACCCCCTTCCGACAACAAAAATTACTACATGACTCCAGGAGGGGGGAACCGAAGCCTGAGTCCCACTAGCCCAGGCTGGGGGTCAAAGTCTGAGTCCCAGTGCCCCAGGTGGTGGGGGCTAATAACCTGAGCCCCGCCGCCCGCAGGCTTCAGCTTTGGCCCCCAGCACATCTAACGGCAGCCCTGGCGACCCCATTAAAAGGGAGTCATGACCCACTTTGGGATCCCAGCCCACTGTTTGAATCATAGAATCTCAGGGTTGGAAGGGACCTCAGGAGGTCATCTAGTTCCACCCCCTGCTCAAAGCAGGATCAATCCCCTGACAGATTTTTGAACTCACTACCCTGGGTTTAGCAGGCCAATGTTCAAACCACTGAGCCGCCGTGCTAGGGGCTGCACAGACACAGAACAAAACGATGGTCCCTGCTCAAAAAGCTTCCAGCCTAAGCCTAGGTTACATCTACACAACAGCCTGTGTCGGCAAAACTTATGTCGCTCAGGGGTGTGAATACTTCACCCCACCGCAACCCGAGCAACATAAGTTTCACCAACATGTCCCGCTCTCTCCCATCTGCAAAGAGCGTCGTCCTATAGCGCTGTATGTATAGCCACCCTGAGACAACAGAAAGGTACTGACAGCCTGATGAGGGAGTTCAAGGAAAAGCTTTGACGAGTGGGATCAACGGGATGGGCGCTGATCACATCAGCACACCCTTGTAGAGATTTTTGCTCTGTGCCATCTGAGATATGAGGAATTATTGGTTAAATTGGAAAAGATGGGGATCGGTATGAAAATCCAGAGGTGGATAAAGAACTGGTTAAAGGGGAGACTGCAGCGGGTCGTACTGAAAGGTGAACTGTCAGGTTGGAGGGAGGTTACCAGTGGAGTTCCTCAAGGTTCGGTTTTGGGACCCATTTTATTTAATCTGTTTATTACTGACCTCGGAACCAAATGTAGGAGTGGGCTGATAAAGTTTGCGGATGATACAAAGTTGGGAGGTATTGCCAATTCGGAGAAGGATCGGGATATCCTGCAGGGAGATTTGGATGACCTTGTAAACTGGAGTAATAGTAATAGGATGAAATTTAATAGTGAGAAGTGTAAGGTGATGCATTTAGGGATGACTAACAAGAATTTTAGTTATAAGCTGGGGAGGCATCAGTTGGAAGTAACGGAAGAGGAGAAGGATCTCGGAGTCCTGCTTGATCGCAGGATGACTATGAGTCGGCAATGTGACGTGGCCGTGAAAAAAGCTAATGCGGTCTTGGGATGCATTAGGCGAGGTATTTCTAGTAGGGATAAGGAGATGCTGGTTCCATTATAAAAGGCACTGGTGAGACCTCATTTGGAGTACTGTGTGCAGTTCTGGTCTCCCATGTTTAAAAAGGATGAATTCAAACTGGAACGGGTACAGAGAAGGGCCACTAGGATGATCCGAGGAATGGAAAACCTGTCGTATGAAAGGAGACTCGAGGAGCTCGGTTTGTTTACCTTAACCAAAAGAAGGCTGAGGGGGGATATGATTGCTCTCTTTAAATATATCAGAGGGATAAACACCAGGGAGGGAGAGGAATTATTTCAGCTCAGTACTAATGTGGACACAAGAACAAATGGATATAAACTGGCCGTCGGGAAGTTTAGGCTTGAAATTAGACGAAGGTTTCTAACCATCAGAGGGGTGAAGTTCTGGAACAGACTTCTGAGGGAAACAGTGGGGGCGAAAGACCTCTCTGGCTTTAAGATTAAGCTTGATAAGTTTATGGAGGGGATGGTTTGATGGGATAATGTGATTTTTGTCAATAGGTCAATAACGTGCCATCGCTGGTAATTAGTAACAATGGTCAACGATGGGATATTAAAAGTTACTACAGAGAACTTTTTCAGGAGGGTCTGGCTGGAGAATCTTGCCCGCATGTTCGGGGTTCTGCTGATCGCCATATTTGGGGTCGGGAAGGAATTTTCCTCCAGGGTAGATTGGCAGAGGCCCTGGAGGTTTTTCGCCTTCCTCCGCAGCATGGGGCGGGGGTCGCTTGCTGGAGGATTCTCTGCGACTTGAAGTCTTTAAATCATGATTTGGGGACTTCAACAGCTGAGTCAAGGGAGAGAATTATTCCAGGAGTGGGTGGGTCAGCTTTTGTGGCCTGCATCATGCGGGAGGTCAGACTAGATGATCATAATGGTCCCTTCTGACCTTAAAGTCTATGAGTCTATGAGTCTATATTCACTCCTCTCCCAACCAGGGGCCCATTGCAATGCCCCAGCAGGGTCTGCTGCTTTCCCCGCTAGTCATAGGAAGCTGTGACAGATTTGTTCTTCTTTGTAGCTCTGCATCATGAGTGGAAAGACAGACTCAGAGGATGAGTGGGGAAGAGGTGACACAGACATAGAGAATGTTATCTCACAATATTCAATGTGGCACTTGATCCCCAGCCCCTGGAGATAAGGTGTCAGGCGAGAATTCAGCTTTCAATTTTAAAAAAAGGAAGCCCCAACACACACACATCCGAAGAAGTGAGGTTTTTACTCACGAAAGCTTATGCCCAAATAAATCTGTTAGTCTTTAAGGTGCCACCAGACTCCTTGTTGTTTTTGTAGATACAGACTAACACGGCTACCCCCTGATACTTAACACACACACACACACCCCATCCGGTGGCTGAAGCCTGGAGCCCCGAGCCCCCTCCCTGCTGGGCCCTGGAATTTTTTTACATGTTGGGGGGAGGTGGGGGCTCAGAAAGAAAGAGGTTGAGAACTCCTGCCTTAGGGGACAGGAGATATTCTCCCCTTCCCCCAGGGGGGCAATCTTCCCACCAGCCCATCTAGAGCAGGAAATGAGTGAGCTTCTCTCTGACATATTGTTCACGCCCTGGGAGACACGTGATTTCTGAGAAATAGCCTGGCTGCTACAGGCGATTTCTCATAAACGGCCTGGCTGCTGGCTGAGAGGAAAAGGAAACTAGTTAGTTAGTTTCATGGTGGGAGGTGGCAGAGGAGGAGGGAGGGACTAACAGAGGCCAGACGCCTGGCAGATGTGGACTAGCAGAAGATACTAGGCTTCCTGTAAACAGGCTGCACTGGGGAATTGGGGTGTCCACATCATGGCCCCTGAACTGGGGTTGAGACCAATGCACGTGCAGAGCAGCCCAGAGAGCACATGGGTGGAGACGCGCCTAGGACGGGCCTGCGCACGCGGCTGGTCCTTTTGTCATACCCGTGCCTTCCCGATCCGACAACAGCTTTCTCTGTAGCTCGGCCAAATCTTTCTCCTGCCGCTCAGCGCCAGGCTCGGGTTTTCCCGGGTGATCCCTGTTTCATGATTCCCGAGCACTTGAGGCAATTTCTCTCAAGCACCCTTGGATTTGGGGGCGCTGCAGAAGAAAGTGCCTCTGGGGCTCCGTCTACACTAGGGGCTTGTAGAGGTCTGCTGAGGCCTAGCCCGACCTGGACCTGTTCCCCACTCAAGCCTTACTGCGAGGAGGGGGGCAATTTTTTTGGCCTGAGGGCCACAACTAGGTGGGGAAATTGCATGCAGGGCTATGAATGTAGGGCTGGGGCAGAGGGCTGGGGTGCAGGAGGATGTGCGGGGTATGGGAGGAAGTGTGGTGTGCAGGAAGGGGCTCAGGGCAAGGGGTTGGGGCAGAGGAGGGGTGCAGGGTTCAGGAGGAGG